CATGCTCCCAGCGTCGCGCGACTTCCGCTGTCGTAACAATATATATATATATATATATATTGATGATGATGATGACAAAACCTTGTCGAAACGTTCTACATTTGCTGTTATGTTAAACTTATATTAAAGTTTTTCTTCATTACCCATTCAAGCCGTCTCCAACCATTATTAATATATATATATTGCCCAACTGAGGCCTAGAACTTTGTACACTACGAGAAGCTGTGATGTAACAATAATCTCTTAAAATAAAGTAACAAGAAAGAAATACAGAAGGTTCGAACAACGTGATGTCAATTCACAAAAATTAAACTACACAAAAAATTATTCGTAAAAAGTTACGCAAGCAAACTTGCCATAACTATTGTTTCTTAAAATAACTTAATTTAACGCTCGCAAAATATAAACTAAATAATACTCTCGTATTAAACTTAAAATGATCAGTTATGTATGTTTTCCCATAAGCCCCTCTGTAATAATTTTTTTTTTACACTATATACAAAGATTATTTTAGTTCATACAAAAAGTCTACTCATACAATATGCACCAACATTTGCAGTCCCCTTGATGCCTTCAATGCGAAACATATAGTTCTGGAGGTACAACGCCCACCTCAAGATCCTCACACTGTCGATTTTGCACCTCTTTTGGATGTATGCAAGTGGTTGATGGTCCGTCTGGGTGATGAACTCTTTGCCGTATAAGTAGTTCTGGAATTTCTGGATGGCAAATATGATGGTCACATACTCTCGTTCGATCTCAGAGTAGTTCTTCTCACTACTCAACAACTTTTTACTTACATACATTACCGGAAACAGTACATCTTCATGTTCTTGTAGGAATACTGCTCCAATTCCAATGTCTGAAGCATCGGCCTGAATGATGAATGGTTTACTGAAATCTGGCATTCTAAGGATTAGTAAACTTTGCAACATGTTCTGTAACTTCTGGAATGCTATCTGCTGTAGTTGTTCCCACTTCACCTTGTTAGGTAGGTCGTTCTTGGTTGGGTCAGTCAATTGTGCAGCAACTTCAGCGTAGTTTGGATCAACTTCCTATAGTATCCTGCTAATATGAGATAGGATCTAACTTGCTGCTTGGTCATCTTGTATGCACGTTAGCTTCTCCTCTTTCATGACTATTTGTCGGTTGCCCACCTTGTGTCCAACAAACTCCAACACAGAACAGTCGATGTAGCACTTAGATGGTCAGATCTGCTTCCCTCACTTGCCTGAACAGCCCTCTAAGTTTCTTCAGGTGGTCTTCCCATATGGCTGTGTGTGTCAAAATGTCGTCCACATAATGCTCGATGTTGGTGGTTTTGTGCAACATCTTTCTCATCATGCAATTGAATGTTGCTGCTGAGCTGACTAACCCATACGGCATCTTCTTAAACT